TTTCATTTATTTGTTTCTAATATTGTTATTGAGTTGTTTTAATTATTTAAATTGTTTTTTTATTACTTTTATTTGCCTTGGCTATTATTTAATTACTTCATTTGTTAATTACTTGAATTCTTATTTCAACTGTTTTAGATTATTTTAATTGTTATTTAATCATTTCAATTATTTATTTTGTTCTTTTAATTATTATTTACTACTTGAATTGTCATTTTATTTATTTTTGGTCATTTTAATTACTATTTAATTACTTTTAATTGCAGTAATTATTATTCATTTACTTTATTTATTTAAATCATTTTTATTTATTTTTATTTATTAAAATTATTTTTATTTATTTTTATTTATTTTTATTTATTTTTATTTTATTGTTTTAATTTTCACCAAAGGCTCCTCCGGGTGTTCTTGCGGCCACTGCACCATCATGCAGTAAGCTGAGAAAATGAATAAATAAAAACAAATAAAAAAATAAAAATAAATAAATAAATAAAATAAATAGATAAAATAAATATAAATAAATAAATAAAAGTAAATAAATAAATCAATATAGATAAATAAATTAATAAAAATAAATAAACAAATGAAAATAAATAAAAAAACAAACAAATTCATTAAGGAAAATAACAAATAATAATAATATTAATAGTAATATTATTAATAATAATAAATTTAGAAAGTGAATAATGAGCAGCAGTAAAATACTTTGAAAGTCCCAAAATAATCTATTTTTAACATATTATTTTCCTTGAAAATTCGCAAAAAAGAATAAAAAGAAAATAAAATTAATTATTTTTATTTTGTTTTATTTACCAACGCAGTGCTCTGGCTGCCGGGGAGTCGAAGCGATAGTACATAAAGGATAGGTCACCTGCAGCAGCAGCAGCAGCAGCAGCAGCAGCAGCAGCAGCAGATTAGCACAGCAGCAGCGGGAGGGACAACAGCAGAGCAGCAGCAGCAGCAAAGCAGCAGCCCAGCAGCAGAAGCCACCAAACAGCAGCACAGCCGCAGCAGCACACAGCAGCAGCAGCAGCAGCAGCAGCAGCAGCAGCAGCAGCAGCAGCAGCAGCAGCAGCAGCAGCAGCAGCAGAAGCAGCAGCAGCAGCAGCAGCAGCAGCAGCAGCAGCAGCAGCAGCAGCAGCAGCAGCAGCAGCAGCAGCAAGGACCTGGGGGGTGAGCAGCCCCAAGCCGCACTCGTAGCAAGAGGAGACACCCGGAATGAAAAGTCGCATTTGTCCCTTCAGTCCTTCGCTGCCGCCGTCCAGCAGCAGCGGCGCAGACCCCACAACTGCTGCCCCGCTGCTGTCCCGCTCCACCTGCAGCAGCAGCAGCAGCAGCAGCAGCAGCAGCAGCAGCAGCGGCGGCGGCGGCGGCAGCAGCAGGCAGGGCACGGGAGGCAGGTGGGGGGGCGCTGGGGAGACAAGAACGGCGGAAACCAAACAGAAACAGCAACAGCAGCAGCAGCAGCAGCAGAATCACAGCAGCAGCAGCAGCAGCAGCAGCAGCAGCAGCAGCAGCAGCAGCAGCAGCAGCAGCAGCAGCAGCAACAGCAGCAGCAGCAGCAGCAGCAGCAGCAGCAGCAGCAGCAGCAGCAGCAGCAGCAGCAGCAGGTTTGTTTACGAGTTGGTGGACTGTGGCGTTGAGCCACCTGCGAGTCTCCACGCAGTCGAGGGCCCCAATTATAATTTCGAAAGAACGAAAAAAAGACAAGGGCTTCGCCTGCAGCTTGCTGCAGTGACTGCAGCAGCAGCAGCAGCAGCAGCAGCAGCAGCAATCATAATTCCAAAGAACGAAGGAAAGAAACGCGCTTCACCTGCAGTTTACTGCAGCCACAGCAGCAGCAGCAGCAGCAGCAGCGCGGCAGCGGCTCAACGTTTCAGCCAGCAGCAGCAACGGCGCAGCAGCAGCAGCAGCAGCAGCAGCAGCAGCAGCAGCAGCAGCAGCAGCAGGAGGGTGGGGACTGACGGCTCGATGGTGACGCCGAGGTGGCCGAACCTGGCGTTGAGTGCTGCTGCTGCTGCTGCTGCTTTGCTGCTGCCAACATCTGCTGCAGCAAAGAGACACTGGCGGTGCAAATTCGAAAAGGAGACAGTGTCATTATCCACTGCAGCAATTCGACGGAAGCCAGACACGCACAGCAGCTTCAACACCTCGCACCCTGCAGCAGCAGCAGCAGCAGCAGCAGCAGCTGCAGCAGCTGCAGTAGTAGCAGCAGCGGTCACAGCAGCTGCAGCAGTAGCAGCAGCTGTTGCTGCTGCAGCAGTAGCAGCAGTGGCAGTAGCAACAGTAGCAGCAGTCACAGCAGCTGCAGCAGTAGCAGCAGCAGCTGCTGCTGCAGCAGTAGCGGCAGTGGCAGAAGCAACAGTAGCAGCAGTCACAGCAGCAGCAGCAGTCACAGCAGCTGCAGCAGCAGCAGCAGCATCAGCGGCAATTCCACAGCAGCAGCGGCAGCAGCTGCAGCAACGCCGAATCAGCAGCAGCAGCAGCATGTCAGCAGCAG